ATGCGACTACGTGGATAAACTTGAATAAGTACTTGATCATGGATGATTATAAGCATTCCACTTGGCCAGATTCAGAAGGAACGGTTTCACAGAACTGAGTGGGTTGGCCGGATGATGGTGATGAATATTCACAAATATTCACAGCGTGATTGATGAGAAATTCGAATATAAAAGGAAGTTCAAGGACTTTTTTTTTTTTTTTTTCGGATGTTGTGCCCTATCTATTATCATAACAGATGATAGTTATATGATATTTCTAATTAATGTTAATATCTTTTCTTCTCTCTTTTTCTTCTTATGTGTGTGCACCGTTTCAATAAGGTTAGAAGGAAAATACAATTATAAGGTTTTTGGTATTGTGCACATTTACGGAAACTATACAACAATCGAAACTTCAATCAAACTTCAATATATATATAGGCCTCTTTCACAACCATCATCACCTTTACTAACACTACTCTTCTCTCCACTAATATTCTAATTAATATTATTCCGGTAAATGACAAATTTATTTTGTTATATTTAGTTGCCTAATATAAAACCCGATAGAGGGACCCATAGCCAATAATAGTTCAGTATTAAGATAGACGAATATAATCGTGTATATATAAAGGGAAATTGAGGAAGCAAGGTTGAGCCGGAATGTCTACAAAAATTTAACGTGGTAGCTGCGGTGTACAACAAATGATGGTTGTACACAGAACATAATTTTGATGTAATGTACATCGCGTTACACCAGACTCGAAGTTATGCTATAATACGCACCATACTCGATCTTCTCTATTATTGTGTTTAATTGATTTATATTTATGCATGCACGACCAACAGTTTATCACGATGACCGGTTTTAAATTCTAAATGATAATGTGCGGGAATCAAACGTTTTATCATCAAATTTCCTTTCTCTAAATAACTACTCTCAAGACAATGAGGGATTCGCAAATTGCATGACTTACCTAGTTGCTGAGTGCTTTCGCACGTCACTACAACTGTTACTGCAGGCAAAATACGTACACGCGTGTCATAGATGGAATTTCAAGGGAACAACAATAACCCTTAGCAATTAACTTGAATGTCACCTTCCTACGTTCAATTTAAATGTTTGTGTCTTGTGCGTCGACACATATGAAAGTTTGTAGATATCACCAAAAAAAAGAACATTCAATATTCATAGATTTAATTTCAGTATGCAAACATTAAATTTAAATTTATAAATTACGTGTCACGCACTGATTGCTCCAATGTCAAAAGGTGACATTTTATTGGTTTGTTTCGTTGTGCAGACCTGGCTCGAGCGCTGTATTTGTATTGCAAATAGAATTCCCATTTGTCATTCGACTTACCCATCTCAACTAACATTTCGAGGTTGAATCTGAAGATGCTTTGATGCAACCAAGCCTGCGCTACCCCTGAAATCGAAATCCGGAAACTTCTGTCACTCGTCTTCCGATTACAAGGGCGACCTCTTCGAAATATAGATCAAAATTTTTTCAGTCTTCACACAAATGTGGAAATCGTAGAAATTAGACAGGACTGATCTTGAAAATCGAACTTTTTGATTCGAAATCCTCATAGAACGACCTGTTTCAAAATGCCAAGGATTACCGATATTTGATGTCACATGATTTATACAACATATTTTAAAGTACGGATTAGGTGATTTATTAATGGTAATTGGAATCATTCACCCAATTACTGGGTATCCTTTGCGGATCTTTCCTCAACCATTTCTGTGTATAATTCAAAATTGAATATTGTTATGGCCATTCCATGTTCCGCAAACTTCTGTGAAATCTTGCCAAGCGATCTTTGGTGTGGAAACTATGAAAAAATCATCTTTTCTAAACGATAGAATCACGAATAATAATCTATCCTCTTGTACACAATTTTCAGATATCAATATAACGAATATAACGAAATGTTTTGATATAGCAAGTCTATTAATCATACAATGTTACAATGAAGTCGCAACTTCCTAGTTCGTCTCCTTACATGAGGTTGAATAAATCTGCTCTCCTTAAAATTACATTTAATCACCAAATACAATACAATCAAATCAATAACAAAATTATTATAACCAGATAATATTTTCTCTTACCCACCACATCAACTCGTTTAAGGTAGAGCTGACATTATTATCATACTTCCTTGGAAGATTTGAGAAA